ACAAAGGAGAATTTATATTTCTGCTATTAAATATGATACAATAAATCTAATATCTAATTACTAAATATTAGAACTTCAAAGTTTAAACCAACTTTTGCAACTCCTAATATAACTTAATAAAAACTCCTAAAATATATGCACATATTATTTATTTATGTTGAGAACTAATGTATTAGAATAATTGTGAAATAAATTCTTAGATTTGAATTTTTGAATTTGAATTTTTGAATTCAAATTCAAAATTTAATAACATGGTTACGAGGCTTTAATACGTGTCGGTTACGAGCTTATGTAATATATATATAGACCTCAAACCTTCATTGTAATTATCTATTCTTAGCATCATCTTGTTCAATAATAAAATTCATTCCATTATAATAAAAAAAAAACCAACATTTGGTATCAAAGCTAAAAGTCCTTTCTGACCTGTTCTATGGTTTCCAATCCCGCTAGTACGTCGACTTCCTCCAGCCACCTCATTCCAGAATTTGATGGAGAAGACTACGACTTCTTATACATCAAAATGAAGACCATTTTAAAGTCGCTTAATCTCTAGGAGATTGTAGATAAAGGTTTGTGGAACTAGCCGAGGAAGAAAAGCTCGACGAAAATACTGCGAGAAAATTGGAGAAGCTGAGACAAGCTAACGCCAGCGCTTTTTCGGTAATTCAACGAGCTCTCACTAGAAATATTTTTCCTAGAATCATGAGAGCCGACACCACTAAGGACACTTGGGAAATTCTCAAGGATGAATTCCAAGGAGATGTCAAAGTCCGAACAATTAAGTTGCAAACGCTATGGAAGGAGTTTGAGAATATCACTATGAAAGGAAACGAAATGGTGAAAGATTTCTCAACGAGGTTAATTGATCTCGTCAATCAAATGAAGTCACATGGTGAAGAGATTTCCGATAAGAGGATGGTGGAGAAGACACTTATTTGTCTTCCCGAAGAGTTTGATTCAATCGTGGCTGTCATTGAGCAAACAAAGGATCTCTCAACACTCACCATCCGAGAAGTATTGGCATCTCTCAAAATATTTGAAGAAAGACGTTCAAGGCGGTTAGAAAAATCCATCAAAAGTGGTTTCCAATCAAAGCTAAAGTTAGGCAACCGAGAAGATATTACAAAGTCCGACTCCAATCAATCTCAAGCTGGTGGAAATTTTTGAGGACGAGGACAAGGCATTCGAGGAAGAGGACAATCTCAAAATGCATCTTTTGCAACATTTGTAAACGATCAGGACACGTCAACAAAGATTGTTGGTTCAAGAATAAACCCAAGTGCAATATTTGCAACCGTTTCGGTCACCTTGGAAAAGATTGCAGGAATCGAGGCGCTCATCAAGAAAATTAAACAGAGACACAAGAACACCATGGAACATTCTATGCTTGCCATACCGCGAGTGCCGAAAGAAGCAAGAGATGGCTACTCGATAGCGGATGTAGCAACCATATGACCTCAAATAAGAGAAATTTTCAGCACCATTGATGAAAAAGTCACAACTCCCGTCCAACTTGGAAACAGCGCACTCATTGAATCAATGGGACTCGAGGCCATTCCGATCAACACAAAAGAAGGTGAGAGCTTCATTTCCGATGTTCTTTATGTACCAAGTCTAAACCAAAATTTACTTAGTCTTGGAAAAATTTTGGATAATGGATATAAGCTTCTTTTCGACAACAATTAGTGCACGATCTTTGACAAGTGTGACAAGGAAAGGGTGTTTATGAAGATTCTAATGGTGAACCGAAGCTTTGCTCTCAATATCAATTATTTCCACACAGCTGCAAATCAAGCCGATACCATGGAAGAATCAGAACTATGGCATCAGCAACTTTGTCATGTCAACTATAGAAGCCTTAAAGCCTTATCGGATTAGAAAATAGTGCATGGACTTCCGGACATCAAGGAGAAACACAATGTGTGCGAAGGTTGTATGATAGGAAAGCAACATCGACAACCTTTCCCGAACGATGTAGCTTGGAGAGCCAAAGAAAGTTAGAGCTTGTTCACACCGATATTTTTGGAATGATGGACACTCTATAACATGCGGGAAATAGGTACTTTGTACTTTTATTGATGATTATTCACGTATAACATAGGTTTATTTCATGAGGCAAAATTTGAAGGTTTTAACCATATTTAAAATATTCAAGAGCCTTGTCGAGAAGCAAAGTGGATGTGCCATCAAAACCTTGAGGAGTGATAGAGGAAATGAATACACATCAACGGAGTTTATGACCTTTTGTAAGGATGAAGGAATGGTGCGACAATTGACAGTTGGTTACACCCCTTAACAAAATGGTATAACCGAAAGAAAAAATCAAACGATTGTGGAGATGGTGAAGTCGATGCTTCATGAGAAAGGACTTTTCAAAACTTTTTGGGCCGAAGTCGTCTATATTATGGTTTACCTTTCCAACTAATGTCCGACGAAAGCAATTCAACACAAAACCCCGATCAAAGCTTGGAGGCCGGAAACCTTCTGTTAACCATCTCAAAGTATTCAGGAGCATTTTCTACGCTTAAGTACCGAAAGTGAAGAGAACAAAATTCGATGAATCAAGTGAGCGATGCATTTTTTTCGGATATAGCATGATGAGCAAAGGGTTCCGAGTCTTCAGCTTAAAGCAAAATCGTGTCATTATCACTCGGGACATTCAAGTAAATGAAAATGCCTCATGGAATTAGGAAGAAAGCAAAATTGAAAAGAAAGAAATCGTAATGGACTTCACTCCAGCGGCAATAGAAGAAGTTAACAATGAAGGAGAAGATGAGGCTCAACCATCAAGTCCCACCTCATCAAATACCACGGATGGGGTTGATCCATTCAGTGGTAACTCATCATACACCACAAGTCCAAATCCAAAGAAGTACAAATCATTGAATGACATTTATGCTTCTTGAAATTATTGTGCAGTTGAACCCGAGAACTTTGAAGAGGCTATGAAGGAAGAAGCTTGGAGAAAAGCAATGAATGAGGAGATTCAATTGATCGTAAAAAATCACACATGGGAGCTTGTTGATAGGACATCAAAAAAAGATGTAATCGGAGTGAAATGGATATATAAGGTGAAGCACAATGCTGAAGGGTCCATTCAAAGAAACAAAGCAAGACTTGTTGCCAAGGGATATTCACAACAAGTTGGAATTGATTACGACAAAACCTCCCCGGTAGCACGTCATGACACAATTCGAGCATCATCATACTTGCCGCAAGCAAAGGTTGGACACTCTACCAACTTGATGTGGAATCCGCATTCTTAAATGGCACTATAAAGAAAGAAGTTTATGTTGAACAACCACCGGGATTAACGGTCGACAGAAAGGAAGACAAAGTCTACCGATTGAAAAAAGGCGTTGTACGGATTAAAGTAAGCACCCCGATCATGGTACAGTGAAATCAACAACTACTTCATTCAAAGTAGATTTAAGAGGAGAAAGAGTGAGCCGACATTATACGTCAAGAAAAAAGGTAATGATGCTCTTATTTCTATCCTTTATGTCGATGACTTGATCTTCACAGGTAGAAACAAGGAAATGATCAAAGAATTCAAGCGTGACATGGCTCAAAAGTATGAAATGAGTGATATGGGTTTGCTTCGACACTTCTTGGGAATGGAGATTCATCAAGAAGAAGAAAATGTGGTTATTTCTCAAAGGAATTATGCCGAAAAAATCTTAAAGAAGTTCAAGATGCTCGGATGCAAACCAAGGTACCATGGATTTTGGATTGAGTTACAAGAAGAATATTGATGTCAAATTGGTTGGGTATTGTGATAGTGATTTTGGAGGATCCCTTGATGATTCAAAAAGCACGGCGGGATCTTGCTTTACGATGGGATTGGCTATTTTCTCATGGATTTCAAATAAACAACAAAGCGTTGCACAATCATCCGCAGAAGCAGAGTATGTATTAGCAGCATTAGCCACGTCTCAAACCATTTGGCTAAGAAGAATCATGGGTGATCTCCGACACAAGCAGCAAGAAGGAACCACGTTGTACTGTGATAACAAATCAGCTATCTCCATGGCAAAGAATACGACAGCCATATCCGTCACATTGCTCTCAAGCATCACTTCATTCGGGAGGCAATTGAAGACATAAAAATAAGGTTGGAACATTTTCGATCGGAGGACCAACTTTCAGATATCCTGACCAAGGCACTACCTTGAGAAAGATTCCAACAACTTCGAGATGCTATGGGAATCGAACAACACATTAAGGGGGAGTGTTGAAAATTAATGTGTTGAATAATTGTGAAATAAATTCTCAGATTTGAATTTTTGATTTTGAAATTTTGAATTAAAATTATAAATTGAATTTTGAATTTGAACTTTGAAATTCAAATTCAAAATTTAATAACATGGTTATAAGGCTTTAATACGTGTCAGCTACAAGCTTATGTAAAATATATATATACCTCAAACCTTCATAGTAATTATCTATTCTTAGCATCATCTTCAATAATAAAATTTATTCCATTATAATAATAATAATAATAATAATAATAATAATAATAATAATAATAATAAACAATTTAATAACAATAATAATTTGAAGCACTTCCCCTTACTTCAAAGCTTGTGACTCCCATACGCATCCTGAAATAATCATGTTTGGCTTGAGAAAGTGATTTGGTGAAGATATCCGCTACTTGCTTGTTGGTTCCACAAAACGTCACTGCAATTATTCCATTTGCTACACGTTGTCGAATGAAGTGGTGCTGAACGTCAATATGTTTTGTCCTCCCATGGAAAGCTGAATTTTTGGCAATTGCAATCGCTGCCTTGTTGTCACAGAAAAATTTGTGTCGCCTCCCTCTGCTCATGATCCAAATCTGTAAGAAGTTTTCGAATCCACAAAGCTTGCTTTGCTGCCGAAATTGCTGCTGAATATTCTGCTTCACACGATGATAAAGCTATTGTGTCTTGTTTCTTAGAGCTCCATTTTACTGCTCCAAAACCGAGATTAAATATATTACCAGACACACTTTTTCAATCATCAATGCAAGCAGCCCAATCACTATCGGTGAAGCCAACAAGTCTGAAATTTTTTGCTTGACTGTACCAAATGCCAAAGTTCAACGTCCCAGCAATATAACGAAGAATCCTCTTAGCAGCTCCAAATTGTTGTTTCGTAGGATGATGCATAAATCTGGACACAACACTAACCGATAAAGAAATATCAGGTCTAATATGTGTTAAATAATGTTGCATTTTCTTTTTCAGTCCCGTCTTTATGCTGTAACTTCTCATTAATATTCATTGGTGTGGCTGCAACTTCACAATTCACCATGTTAAATCTCTTTAGAAGATCGACAGAATACTTCTTTTGATCCACAAAAATTCCATCTTCAATCTGAATAACCTCAAGTCTCAAAAAATATTTTAGCAACCCAAGGTTTGTCATCTCGAATTTGCTCATCATGGTATGCTTAAAATCATCACGTAAGGCCTTTGACGATGCAAGATACACCATATAATCAACATATAAACAAACTAACAAGAATTCGCCATTACCTCTCTTCATATATAGAGTAAGCTCATTCTCACTTCTTGAGAATCCATTTCTATGAAGGAATGAATCAATTTCACTGTACCAAGCCGGGGAGCTTGTTTCAACCCATAAAGAGAGTTTTTCGTAACCTATCAACCGTATCTTCACTGCCAACAAACATTAAATTCAGGAGGTTGAGAAACATACACCTCATCTTCCAATGCACCATTTAAAAAGTCGACTTCACATCAAAATGATAAATTGGCAAATTTAATTGAGCAGCTAATTCCAAAAAATATATTCACAGTTTCAAAGAAAGCAACCAGAGAATAAGTTTCGTCAAGGTCTATACTATGTTGTTCTGAATATCCTTTTGCGACGAGTCGAGCTTTATGCTTTTGAATACTTCCACCGGATTATATTTGGTACGAAACACCCATTTCAAGCCAACAATATTTCTATCATGTGGGGCATCGACCAACTCCCAATTTGAATTTTTTTCAATAACATTTAGTCCTCTTCCATAGCTTCTTTCCACTCTCATTTTTGTATAGCTTCTTCAAAAGACGTAGGATCAGCCGTTAACGAAGCAAACTCACATGATTCATAAACTTCTGTAACATATCTGAATTTTGGCATCGATTCAGCGCTGCTGCTGTTCTGGACAGTGAATGGTGACAATTCTGCGCTACTAATGTGTCAGATAGAGGATGGTGATGATTTTGCGTTGCTGCTATTTTTTCGAACTGAGTTGTGCAAGTGTATTCGAGACGCTGTTACTGCCATTCAAAAGTGCAGGATCTAAATGTCTAACACCTTGTACATCGCTTTCTTTTTCATCAAAATATGCAGGAACCAATTTAATGACACCATCATTGTCAACACTCCACTTCACTGCAGCCTCTTCATTGAATATCACCTTTCTACTTATTATCACTTTGCCATTTATAGGATTATACAGATGATATGCTTTCAATTGAGGACAATAACCAATGAAAATGTTGGATATTACAAAAGCAGATAATAAAACAAGTTAGCAAATCCTCTATAGATTACTTGGTCAGTGTTGTGTGTGTACACTCAACGTTTGTTTGAAGAAGGAAAATGGAGATAAATATTGCTTGTATCAAAACCATTACAAGACTCCTCGAAATATATAGAGATAGAAGAAAGATTCTGGAAACAACAACAGTAAATGCAAACGCAAATATCAACGGAACTGTCCGAGCAGTAGATAAACAGTCACTAGACAAACCAGTAACTGCCAGACAAAAAAACTGCTATCTAAATGTTATGTTTGAAATCTTCTTGAACAAGTTAATTTTCATCATTCTCCCCCCTAAAACTTGTTCCTCCTCGAACTTGCACACCAAGTTTCTTTCTCAATTTTTGAAAAACTTCAGCCTTCAGAGCTTTTGTGAATATATCTACCACTTGATTATTTGTACTCATATGTTGCAATTCAACTTTCTTTGACTTCACATGCTCTCTGATGAAATGGAAACGAGTATCAATGTGCTTTGAGTGTTCATGATGAATTGGATTCTTTGCAACTGTAATAGCAGACTTGTGGTCAATGTAGATCTTGGTCGGATGCTTCTACTCTAACTTAAATTCACCGAGCAATTTTCTCAACCAAATAGCATGGCAAACACAGGATGTTGCAGCAATGTATTCTGCCTCACAAATAGATAATGCAACGATTGACTGCTTCTTCGAAGACCAAGTAAATGCACAACCAACAAAATAAAACATGAATCATGTAGTGCTCTTTCGATCATCACGGCTTCCGGCCCAATCACTATCACTGAACCTAACAAGATCAGGATTTTATGTTGCTGAATATAACAATCTATAATCGATAGTACCTTTGATATATCTCAGGATTCTTTTTGCTACCTTCAAATGAGATGCCTTTGTTGTCTCCATAAATCTGCTAACAAGCCCAACTCCATATAAAATATCAGGCCTGGCACATGTCAAGTACCTCAAACATCCCACAAGGCTCTTGAAATATGTTGGATTTGTTGGCTTGCCTTCTCCTTTTTTGGTTAGAGCAGTCCCACACTCAACTGGTGTGTCCACAGACTCACAATCTGTCATAGTAAATTTCTGCAGAATTTCCTTAGCATATTTTTCTTGTGACACCAATATGTTCGTTGCATCTTGAGGCACTTCAATTCCAAGGAAATATCGCATCAAACACAAGTCATTCATCTCAAACTCCTTTTTCATTGACTGTTTGAACTCCTTAATCCTAGAATCTTTGCTGCATGTAAAGATCAGATCATCAACGTATAAACAGTTCAATAACAAGTCACCTGCAGAGTTCATCTTAGCTTAAAGTGAGTGCTCGTATGGACACTTCACGAAGCCATTTGCTAAGAAATATAAGTCAATTCTTGAGTTCCATGCCCTTGGTGCTTGCTTTAATCCATAAAGAGCCTTCTTCAATCTATAAACATTGTCTTCCTGACCTTCAATTTGAAATCCAGGGAGTTGCTCAATATATACCTCTTATTCAAGTTTTCCATTCAAAAATGCCGACTTGACATCTATCTGATAGATCTTCTGATTTCTCTGGGCAGCAATGGAAATCAGTAATCTCACAGTTTCAAGTCGTGCTATGGGGCAAAAACCTCTTCATAATCAATCCCGTATTTTTGCTTGTACCCTTTCACCACCAATCTTGCTTTATGGCGCTCGACTTTTCCTTCAGCATTTCTCTTTGTTTTGTACACCCATTTGATTCCAATGGATTTGTGACCTTCTGGAAGTGAAGTAAGCTCCCAGGTTTTGTTTTTCTGAATTGCTTGAATTTCTTCCTCCATAGCTTTCTGCAACTTAGGATCTTCCGCAGCTTCCTGAAATGTTAGTGGGTCTATTTCAGCAAATAAACAGAAATTGTTGTATTCATCGTCAATATAATCTTCAACAACCTCTGTGTTGTCAATCAACTCCTGAATACTTCTCATTCTCCTTATTGATGGACTCCTGGAATCATCACTATCAGATTCGCTTCCTCCACAGTTGGGTGTTGTTGCCCGAACACTTTCTGTTTCTTCCTCACCAACTTCAATTACTGGATTTTGTTCGCTATGATGCTTGCTGCTCCAGTCCCAGCATTTTTCTTCATCAAATGTCACATCTCTTGACATAATAATCTTCTTGGTAATTGGGTTGTACAGCTTGTAACCTCTGCAATTTTCACCATAGCCGAGTAAAATACGCTTCTGGCTTTTGTCTTCAAGCTTTGCTCTTTTCTCCTCCTGCACCTTAGCATATGCAATGCTTCCAAAGATTCTGAGATGATCGACATTCGGTTTCTGCTTGCTCCATGCTTCTTCTGGAGTGATGTCACCAATTCTCTTTGTTGGAAACTTGTTCAATAAAATAGACTTCACAAGCTACAGCATCTCCCCAAAACTCTTTTGGCACCATTCTTTCTTTCAGCATGCAGCAAACCATGTTCATGATGGTTCTGTTCTTCCTCTCCGAAACTCCATTCTGTCAGGGTGTCTGTGGCATAGTCAGCTGATGTTATATGCCATGTTCCTTACAGAATCTATCAAACTCCCTTGAGGTGTATTCTCCTCCACGATCTGTCCTTAACCATCTTAGGTATTTTCCACTTTGTTTCTCCATTAGATTCTTGAACTCCTTGAACTTTGTAAACACTTCTCTTTTGTTTCATCATATACACCCATTTTTTGCCACTGTAATCATCTGTAAATGTCAAAAAGTACCTGTTTTCGCCAAATGAGGTTGGTGTAATTGGTCCACAAACATCGGAATGCACCAACTCGATCTGTGATTTGGCTCTTTTTTCTCCGTGCTTGCTGAATTGCTTTCTCTGTTGCTTTCCCATGACACAAATTTCACACGGATTGCTTGCTGGTTCAATTTTTGGCAATCCCAGCACCATGTTTTTGCTACCGAGTGATTTCAGTCCTCCAAAATTAAGATGCCCATACCGCAAGTGCCACAAAGTACTACCATCCAGAATTGCAACCTTCTGACAGTATGAATCGCTCGCTGCCATTAGCTTCAGGGGAAACATTCGGTTCCTGGTCATTCTCACATTTGTAACAATCTGATTGTTTTTATCACGTAACATCATCATCAGATTATTCATGCTGATATCATACCCCTTCTCAAGCAACTGCCCAATACTGAGCAAATTGCTTTTAATTTTAGGCACATAATAAACATTTGAAATGAGTACGTGCCTTCCAGATTGCAATTCGAGGGCTACATCTCTTTTTCCTTTAATTGGGCATTTTGACAAATCTCCAAATGTGATGTTTCCCATCTGCCTTTCATCGAGTTTTATGAAAACTTCTTTTCTCCCACACATATGATTTGATGCTCCAGTGTCAAGGTACCATGTACTTTCCTGCACACTTTCCGGTTCTTCTTTTGCCAACATAAGTAGTGCTTGACCACCATTGGTTTCTTCTTGGTCAACCAGATTTGCTTCTTCTTTTACAGAATTAGTGTTCTGTCAACACTCTCTAGCATAATGACCAAAGTTCTTGCAATCATGACATTGAATTTCAGATTTGTCATACCTCCATCTAGAGTTTCTTCCACAGCCACGTCCTTGCCATCTTCCTCGGCCTCGATTTTGTCCTTGAGCACAATTCTGGTCATTATGTCCAGTCTCTTGAGCTTGCCTATACGTAGCTCGTCCTCCTCTTGCTCTTCGTGGCTGAAATCTTCCATGTTATGTGCCTCCTCTGGATGCATCAAATTTCTTGAATGTGAGACTCGTTTGGAGAGCTTGTTCCAAAGAAGTATCACCTCCTCTTCTCAAAACCATGTGCGCATAGGCTTAGAGCGAACCCAGCAACTCATCAACCGTCATCTCCTCCACATTTTTGGACTCTTGAATGGCTACTGCTACGAAATCATACCTCGGATGTAGTGACCTCAATATTTTTTGATTAATTTTAGCATCTTCTAGTTCCGCTCCATTTCTTCGGATCTGATGCGCAATAGCTATAACACGAGAGAAGTAATTTGCAATACTATTTGTCTCACCATGATTCAATGCCTCAAACTGAGCCGTCAAGGACTGCAGTCGAATCTTCTTCACTTTATCAATTGCTTCATGAGCTTTCTTTAATCTGTCCCATGCCTCCTTCAATGTCTGGGCAGTGGATATCAACTCGAAATCTGCTTCATCAACACCTTGATAGATTGTGAACAAAGTTTTCTTCTCCTTTTTCTTCAACTCCTTATGTTCCTCTGCATTAACTTTTTCACCTTCTGCTTTTGCATACCTAGATTCAACCAGGTCCCATACATCAAGAGATCCCAATAATGCCTCCATTTGTATACTCCACATCCTGTAATTATCTTTCGTCAACTTGGGCACCGGAAGGGAACTGCTGGACGCCATATCCGTCTTTGGGCTGCCTTTCGCCGTTAGGCTCTGATACCACTTTTTGGATATTACAGAAGCAGATAATAAAACAAGTTAGCAAATCCTCTATAGATTGCTTGGTCAGTGTTGTGTGTGCACACTCAACGTTTGTTTGGAGAATGAAAATGAAGATAAATATTGCTCGCATCAAAACCATTACAAGACTCCTCGAAATATATAGAGATACAAGAAAGATTCTAGAAAAAACAACAATAAATGCAAACGCAAATATCAATGGAACTGTCTGAGCAGTAGATAAACAGTAACTAGACAAACCAGTAACTGCCAGACAAAAAAACTGCTATCTAAATGTTATGTTTGAAATCTTCTTGAACAAGCTTAATTTTCATTAGAAAATGCACTTCTCAGATTTTTCATCCAATTTTGAATGCAGATTAATCAAAGCATATGCTGGACAACCAAAAACTTTTAAATGGCTCACCCTGGGTTTTCTACCATTCCAAACTCATATGGCGTCCTATTCAAAACAGCTTTCGTAGGAGATATATTTAATAAATACACGGCTGTTGCCACTGCTTCTCCCCAAAAAGGATTCGGAAGTACTTTAGTTTTTAAAAGACTTCTCGCCATTTCCACCACTATTCTATTTTTCCTTTCAGCAACACCATTTTGCTCCGGTGTATAAGGTGTTGTAAGTTCCCTACGAATGCCATAATTTTCGCAGAAAGAGATAAAGTCATTAGATAAGAACTTACCGCCTCTTTCAGTGCGCAACACCTTAATATTTTTTCTGCATTGCTTTTCCACCATAAACCTTAAATTTTTTAAAGTTATCAAGACTTTCAGATTTGAGTTTCAAGAAATAAACCCCAAGTTATATGACTATAGCCGTCAATAAACAAAAGAAAATATCGACTTCCACCAAGAGATTCTGTTTGCATTGACCTACATAAATCAGCATGTACAAGCTCCAAAAAAGTTGAAGATCTCCAAGATCGTCCACTAGGGAATGAACCTCTGGACTGTTTTCCATACACACATGCTTCACAAAAATCAATCTCTGAAATTTTTGGCAATCCAACCACCATTATTTTTGACATAACAACTTCAAACCATTTACATGTAGATGGCCATAACGTAAGTGCCAAATATTTGATTATTCATTTCTCCTAACAACCAAAGCTTTGCCCACTGATCGAAAGACATCCAATGGAAACATTCGACTTCTTGTCCTACGGATAGTCGCTAACGTCTGACAAGAATTTTTGTCACGAATAATGCACGATTTTCCATCAAACATAACCAAATAGCCACTTGAAATTAATTGTCCTACACTTAGAAAATTATAAGCTAATGTAGGCACAAATTGCACATGGTGGAGAAGATAAAAATCACTTTGGATTGGTTTCACAATAATTGTACATTTTCCTTCAATTCTCATTTTCTTTCCATCTCAAGTCGAACTTCTCATTTTTGTGTTTCATCAAGATCTTTGAATAAAAATTTATTTTCCGAAATGTGGTTTGAACAACCACTGTCCAAAAACCAAATATCTTTATAATCATCCCCACAAATCAATGAATGTGTCATAAATAATTTGTTTGTTTCTTCAGTTTGCTCAGTAAAATTTGTCTGCTTTTGTTCATCCTTCTGCTTTGCCCAAAAAAAAATCTCTCCATGCCCTTGTTGCATTATCTGCATTGCAAATTATTTTTTAATTGGCGTGGTTCAGAAGACCTGCCCCTGCCTCCACCATGACCTCATCCTCAAAAGCTACCTCTGCCGTGCCCACAATTTACAGAAAATTCTGACTTTCCCTTTGAACTCTCCCCCCTTAATTTGAAACGCTTTTTCTTCTGATTTTTCAGAAGATCTGTTCAATCTTGCTTCATGCGACATCAGAGAACTCATCAATTCATCAAGTTTACACGTTGACAAGTCCTTACTTTCCTCAATTGTAGCAATGATCAAATTTTGGAATCAAATTTCCGAGAACCTTACTGACAACAATCTGATCGCTGACCGATCCAGATTCTCCATAACACTGCATCTGGTTGACGATACCAGAAACACGTGACGGATATTCTTGAAATGATTCTTTTTCTTTCATACTCAATGTTTCAAAATCACGCCGAAGGGTTTGCAATTTAATTGTAAGTACTTTGTCGTCACCCAAATATTCTTGCTTCAAATATCCCATGCAATCTTGGATGTTCTCGCAGATGCAATACAGGGAACAATATCATCCTGTAATGTCGATTGGAAGAGTAGCAATGCCTTTGCATCTTTTCTACAATTTTCCCGCAACTGTTTATCCGGTGCTGCAGGAGTCGGGTCTGGGTCATCAAATCCAATTTCAACCAAATCCCACAATTCTTGAGAGTTGAAAAGAGTCTTCATTTTCAAACTCCAACGGATGGTACTTCTCTCCTTTGAAGATTTGGAATTAATGGTTGAATTGAAGAACTTCCATTTTACATATTGCAGACGAATAAAAAACTTAAAACATAATTCTTCACTTCTGAAAAAAAATAAATACAACACAAGCTCCCTAATAATAAATACTAGTAACCGAAGGAATCAATCTAGTACAACCACCATTCACTCATCAGGGCCAGCTACAAACATACCCGTGGAGGAACATGCTTCTCCATCTCCAACTACGGGAAGGCACTTAGGGGAGGCGAACAACCTACAATAAAATTCGAAATTATATAAGAATTTATTGGCCAAATCAAATAAGATGGCGTGGTGTGGCATGGACACCATTAGTTGTCGAAATTCGCACCAAAATATGTAAAAAATACTTTTTAACATAGAAAATTGTGCCTTATTATTTTTTTATATAAAAAATTATTATTATTTAATGTAGTTGCTATTTTACACATCTAATTTTTAATTTTATTTTTAATAAAACATAAATTTTATATGGCTTTGTCCCACATTGGTGTATTTTAAATTGGAGATAGCGCAGTGAAACTCAACCTCCACAGCGGTATACAAACTTTGTCGCATTTGCATTGTCTGTTGCAGATTAAATATGTGGAGACAGTGAACCATCCACATATTCAGACGCAATTTAGCGTGATGATTCTGCTAAGTGGATAGTGGTGATGAATGAAGAAATTGAGTCTCTCCATAAGAATAATACTTGGGTTCTTGTGAAACCACTGCCAGATAAGAGAATTATTGGAAGCAATGGGCCTTCAAGAAAAAAAAAAAGGCATTCCAGGAAGTGATACAGTAAGATAGAAAGCACGGTTGATTACAAAGGGCTATAGTCAGGTGCAAGGTATTGTAATGATGTATCCACACATGTTGTCAAACATAGCTCTATTCGTATTTTGCTTGCTTTGGTTGCCATTAAGGATTTGAAGTTAGCACAGATGGATGTTAAGACAGCCTTTCTATGTGGGGAACTTGAAGAGAATATTTACATAAAGCAACCCCAGAGTTTTGAAATCAGAGGAAAGAAAGACCATGACTATTTGTTGAATAAATCCTTATATGGATTGAAGCAGTCTCTAAGGTAGTGGTATAAGAGATTTGACTCTTTTATGTTTAGTAGTTGATATTTGAGGAGTATTTATGATAGTTGTGTTTATTTTTGGAAGTTAGCCGATGGTACTCGCATCTATCTATTGTTGTATGTTGATGATATAATTATTGCTCCTAAGAATATGTCTGAAATTCGCTCTCTCAAGTTGCAGCTTAGTAGTGAATTTGAAATTAAGGATTTGGGAGCAGCGAAGAAAATTCTTGGCGTGGATATCCAACGTGTTCGTGGACAGAGAATATTGGTCTTGACTCAAGAAAGTTATGTTAAGGTCTTGGAGCATTTTGGCATGAATAATGCCAAACCAACGAGTGTCCCTTTTGCTAATCACTTTCGATTATCAGCTGCTCAGTCACCACAATCAGTTGAAGAGAAAGAAAAAATGGCGCGGGTTCCTTATTCAAATGCAGTCGGTAGTCTTATGTACGCAATGGTATGCACCCGTCCAGATATTTCAAAGGCAGTCAATGTTGTTAGCAGATATATGTCTTGTCCTGGAAAGCCACATTGGCAGGCTGTGAAGTGGATTATGAGATACTTACAAGGTACTTCGAATGCTTGTTTGGAGTTTGGAAAAAATAGTAGCTCTCTGGTTGGACATGTAGATTTTTTTATTATACTAGCGATCTCGATAGAAGAAGATCTCTCTTAAGCTATGTATTTTGTATTGGTGGTTGTGCACTTAGCTGGAAAGCATCCTTACAGCTAGTTGTGGCATTGTCTCTACAGAGGCAAAATATATGGTAGGGACAGAGGCAATTAAAGAAGTTTTGTTGTTGAAAGGACTTTTGGGCGAGCTCAGTCTACATCAGAGTACTACTGTCATTTATTGTGACAGTCAAAGTGCGATACACTTGACTAAAGACCAAAGGCATCACAACAGAACAAAGCACATCGATGTGAAGTATCACTTCATCCGAGATATCATTTTTGAAGAGAAGTTCTGTGTTTAGAAAATTGATACAAAGGAGAATTCTGCTGATATTTTTACAAAATCTCTTCCAGTCGTCAAGTTCAAACAGTGTTTGAGTTGGATTGGAGTTCAGTGTTCGTGATTTAGCCCGATGGGGCTTTTTTGGAAAAAGTAGAGCAAGCTCACTAGTTTGTCATGTTGGACACGGCAAGGTAGAGATTTGTTATGTGGCTTTGTCCCACATTGATGTATTTTAAATTGAAGAAAAATATTGTCCCATATTGCTTGTGGTGACAAATTTGCCATAAAACATTCCCTATAAATTGGTAGCCTTGGGTTGGGTTTTGAGACACACAAAAGTTAAACAAGTAGTCTTTCCATATATATTTGTGGATTACTTGTTTTGCCTTGAGGGTATTTTGGGAGATTGAGAGTTGTGGGCTTTAGAATTGTTATTCGAACCTATTTTGTATTATTTTTTTATAGTGAAATTTTACTTCACCTTTGCCCATAGATGTAGATCATCTTGACTGAACCACATATATC